AAGTTATTTTCTGAAATTTTCAATGGGGAAATGGAGCCCATTTTTGCCCGTTTTCGGTTTCTGGTGTCATAGAGCCCCATGTGTTCGAAAACTCCGTCGGCTGTCATTTTCCCTTTTAAATTTTGAGAAAATCACTTATAACTTTTGATTAAGTTATCGGATCGGGCTGAAACTTTGGCATCTGGCTGTGACCGCTAGGGTTACATTCTGGCGGAGTTTGAGCGTTCCGCGATGCGTAGTTATTTTACGCGGGCCGAAAAGTAGGGTTCACTTTTCTCGATCGGACCCTATACAATAAAAGCGGAAGATGTGAATTAAAAAAAAAACTGTTGTAAATTTAAAAAAAAAGTACAGTGCCTGGCCTTTGACAATAATTTTCCAGGTTTGGGTGATAACTGTTATAACACTAAATTTTATGTCATAATTAATATGTAAAATTTACTTAAACAAATATCTATTAAACAAATACAGCATAGTTATAGAAACAAATGTTACATTATCAAAAAACGCCTTTGAATATAAAAAAAACCTTAAATTCAAAACTAAACATCAATTTTCTGTAATAAAAGTCATTTTTAGATGGCTTCATTTTTTGTATGAAGCGCCCTCCAAATGAAGAGGAAGATCCAATAAAATAAGATGCCATATATGGTTTGGACCTCAAATGCGTAAATTAGAGAATACAATATTTTGGAAGTTATATATTAAGATGCAGAGTAAGGTCGTAGTGATGTGTTTCTGTCAGATTGTTTATCACATACGGACGCTTACTCCTGGTTTTGGTTGGGTTCAATCTATGGAATAGTTAGGCATGTTATGTAAAATATATTAATTATTTCATACAAACGTTCAGCATGTTTGCTTAAAAAAATCGTAATTAAAAAAGAAACCACTTCTTAAATTACCTACGGAAAATCACGTGTTTATAATTATAACGTATTGATAGTCTTTTCTGGGATACTGTGGTATTAGGGACAAAAATGAAAGACGTCTACAACTCCCTGCAGCGCCGAATTAGAGCGCAGCTCTTGAGGAGGAAAAGGGAAGGGTACTGAGGGTCACGTGCTCTCGGGGGGGGGGGGGGGGGGGGGGGGTGGAGGGGTAACGTTACCTCGGGGAAAGAGGAAGGTCAGGGGGGTCTCGTGACCTCAGGGGGGGTCACGTGACCCCCCTCCCCGAGGTCACCGTAGGTACCCGAGGTCCTCCCGAGGTTCTCCCGAAGTCCTCCCGAAGGAACCCGAGGTCCTCCCGAGGGAACCCGAGGTCCTCCCGAGGTCCTCCCGAAGGAACCCGAGGCCCTCCCGAAGGAACCCGAGGTCCTCCCGAAGGAACCCGACGTTCTTCCGAGGTCCTTCCGAAGGAACCCGACGTCATTCTGGAGGACCTCGGGTTCCTTCGGGAAAATTCACCCATTATGCACCGCGCGGTTAAGCCGACGGCGACGGCGACAGTGACGGCGACGCCGACGCCGCTCAAGCCGGAAACGGACGCCTAAGAGCTACGCTCTAAAAACAATATTACTGATACGCTGAGAGGCCTAGCGCAAACGTTCGCCCTTTTCTAACTGCCGCTTGGCCACGCTCGCTGAGCATACTAAGAATCTGGCTCGTTTAGCCCTTTCTCTATTTATTCTTTTTGTTTTTAAAGAAACACTCGCTTAGATGGCGGGGGACAGTGTTTCCCATACTTAACGCCGTTATGAGATGGTCAAGTTTGGTCACTTTTCGTACAATTCCATCTATATGATGTCCTTTTGACCAGAACCTAGCACTGCGAAGACATTTAAGCTGCTGCAGTGACCAATTTTGCTTTGATTAGCCGGCAATATATCAATATTTCGGTAACCGAGTGGCGGCGATAAGTGTGAAGAGCACTGTACATACAATTACGTAAATATTTAGTAACGCAAGCTCACAAGAACTATTATTGTGACCATAAAGCGACGCTCAAATATATTAAAAGTTTACTTTTAAGGGTTAGAAAGTCGCTGTACCATAGAATTGAAGGAACATTCCCATTTTCAATTTCTGCCCACAAGTCGCCTACCGAATGTTATAGACAAATAGAAGAGAGTTCTGCTTTCTTTTTTTATGCGTCGCAGTCAGAAGTGCTGCATCACTTTTCGGAAGAATAATTGCAGGCTTCAGGGGAAACTGTCTGAACGAAGTCATCAGCACGTCCAGTCTTATTTAGGAAATACTGCAGATGGTTTCTCACCATCCAAGGTTAAGTTCTGTCGATCTGCAGTTATACAAGGAGCTTTGACGCTTGAGTGGTTCCCACACGCCGCGACACGCACGTGGCACGCCCCTCATGCTGTCACAACACGTATATAGCTCATACTTCGACGCGAAGGAAAAGGAACGGAATTCTGTAAGTTTTTTTAAGAACATCGAGAGTAATGTACACCTCGTTAAACTCTTTTGGTCACATTAAAGGCTCTGTGAATTTGCGTTACCAGATATTTTATATAAAGGAATGTACTTCCTCATAGTTTATTCAATCTTTCACTTTCTAAAAAAATAAGAAAGAAAAGAAACGAATATCAGTAAGTTTACAAAAGCCTACCTTACAAGACTTAGTGTGCGTGGAGAAGCGAGAGTTGAGAAAAACTCTAAAGTAGCTCCGGTTAGGAACCTGAAGCCACTGGAATGTTACGAAGCAGAGGCGCCAAAATGAAACCAAATACAAGAAAGGCGACAACTTTTTGCTTCCAATATTTCTAATTTGATTCTGCTAAACCTAAACAACGTGCAAACACTGTACGTTCACCCTTTAGATAATAAAAAAAGAAACACTTGCATTGGCCCCTTCTTTTATTCCTTTGTAAACAAAACCAGACACCGGAAAACATCTCCTCGGGAAAAAACAAAAACTATATCGTCAATCGGTTAAACACGCCGTTCCACACGGATCTCCAAAGTCACTTGTGATCAAGGGGCCGAGTTGGCCCTGAAATGGCAGAATTTCGGCTTATTAAAAGTTGTTTAAAGCTTCTTCAGTCTTCAACGTTTAATATTTTCTATCTAGGCGGATATCTGTCGGAAATTTAATTTTATCTTTGGATGTCACGCATATACACTATATCAGTGATCAAGGTTGTATTGACGACGAACACGGCGTCACATTTTAAGTCTTATCATTTTATACTATTTGTAATTAGTTTCTAAGCAGAGGAAGAGTCTGCCAACCTTCAACGCATCTTAAAAGTGTTCGTTATCCGGCTAGAAGACTTGAATAGCAGTCTGAGTAACAAACGATATATCAATAGTCTTATATTTATCCCGGCTTTATAGCATTGTAATGCATTTTTGACAAATATATTTATTGGCACAATCTGCTGTATTAGGAAATAATTTATATTTTCTTCTCTACGGCCTCCTGAAACCGCATTAGGCATGAAGGGCACAGTAGAGTTATGATGACGCGTCCGTTCCCATGTATGAGTTCAGCTCAATATGTCCTCTACTTGATAGCCTGGCCATAAAAATACAAAAATTTCGTCGTTTCCCGGTGTTAGTAATGACCGAATCTTGAAATTCACTACTCGTTAATGTCTGCCCAAATCTTCACCCCTATAGATGTTCTACAGGGTGATACAAGGAGACGTCAGGCTCTTTAAATCGACCGGAAAATTCGGTTTCTTAACCTATCGCGCTAGGACTTTGTGCAGCGTTGCCCACAGATGGAGCATTTTTTTTTTTTTGTAAAATTTGCAAATAGCGAATTTACCTGAGGACAAAGTAAAGAAAGAAAAAGGCTTAGCTCCTATGGAAACGCAGCGACGCCACCAGTCTGCAAACAACACGGCGCCGTTTCGCAACGGTAGACACGAGATGGCGCAAGCGGTCGCGACGCCAACTGCCGCCAACGAACGAGCAGACGACGCCGAGAGCCTTCCCTTTTGCAGCCAAGGAACTGCACACTGCAGTTCCTTGTTGTTACAGTGCCTTTTTTGTTTCTGCGACTGTCGCCACCTGCGGAACGCGCGCCGCTTTTGAGTCCAAAGGACCGTCTGCTAAATTCGCCGGCTCTCGGCGCCGTATGCTCGTTCGTTGGCGGCGTTTGTTGCGCCATCTCTTGTCTCCGTGCGAAACGGCGCCGTGTTGTTTGCAGAGCGGTGGTGTCGCTGCGTCTCCATAGGAGCTAAGCCTTTTTCTTTCTTTACTTTTTCCTCAGGTAAGTTCGCTCTTTGCAAATTTTACAAAAAAAAAAAAGCACCATCTGTGTGCAACGCTGCACAAAGTCGTAGCGCGATAGGTTAAGAAACCGAATTTTCCAGTCGATTTGAAGAGCCTGACGTCTCCTTGTATCACCCTGTACATCGTAGAGTTATTATAATGTACGCCAGAGGTTCAACTGGCGTTAGTGTCTATGCCACTTCCGTGACGCAAATTGAAGCAGACAGCAACCAGTCTACTTTTGCGGTGCTCCTGTGCATTCATATGGGAAAACGCGCGTGCATTTTGCCTCTTCGCCGAAAAATAACACGGAACACTTTGGTTATTTGGGTCGTACCGAATAGTATGTACCTTGATTAACACTGTAAAAGTGTAATTGCTTTAGTTAGCGCATTTTTCTTCATCAGTGACCGATGTTTAACTTCGCTACATTTCAGTCCCAATGTGTGTTCCGCAGCAGGTGTGTAAAAACAAGCGACGATTCGAAGCAAAATTACAATCGAAAGCAATGTAGAGTGTGTTCAAGGCTCGCCAGCATTCCGGTGACGCTTATATATTGATAATATGCCAGTCCTGTCACCATATCAAAATGACCCCGTCGTGCATGAGCGGATAAAAACATTCAAAACGTAGAAAATAAAGTCCATGGGATATAAAAGCTGCCTCTTCGTATTGTTTTCTCTGCCGGGCAGCTTTTATGGGGCACTTGTTCTGAAAGATTTCGAGCGTGCGAGTGATATTTTGAACGTAGAACAACCAGCTTCGCTCAGAGCAGAAAGAATAAAGCGGTACTTACTTATTCGACACAACCAAAGCGCCATGACGAACGGTCACGGTTTGAAATGTGTGCGCTTGTTTATGCTTTGGTTTGCGCTCTCAACGCTTCGGTACTCTTCGCCTGCGGCGCTCTTTCCACGCAAACACCTCGCGACGCAACATGACCATCGTCAAGCATATTTCGATCGTCTGGAGTGGAGCACAGCGGCGGCACTCACTCGCGGATTCGCTAAGCCTACCCGCTTCGGCCCGAACCCGTCACCGGCGAAGAGCCGGACGTACTGCCGCCCGACCTCCGTCCTTCAACCTCATGTGTGCTTGATTCTGCTCTGTGCTGGCGATGTACCGCTCAACCCCGGACCGTGTCCTACTTGCCCTCGCTGCTGCAGGCCGCTCTACGACAGCGTGGCGGCATTACAATGCGACGGGTGCAACATCTGGGTCCACAGGAAATGTGAGCAGCTCTCACTGCCTACCTATCGGCGTCTGTCGAACTGCACAGAACCATGGTACTGCGGCGTGTGCCAGCTGCCATCGTTTGACGACAGCCTGTTCGAAGCGCCGAAGCAGCCTGCACTAACGGCGATCGCATCACCTACCACAGCCGGAGACAGACCCAGCCCGACCGTCCCGACTGCGTCAACGAGAAGGAATGCAAAGCAATTGAAAATTTGGTACTCCAACGTAAGATCAGTGAGAAACAAGATAAAAGAGTTAAACACTTTACTTCAATCAACAGACGACACTGTGTTTACCCTCGCCGAAACATGGCTGGACTCGGCGACATGCGACGGCCAGATCGTCGACACCACCCGGTACCAGGTGTTCCGGAAAGATCGCTCGACGTCCCGCGGGGGTGGGGTCATGGTGCTCGCCCCATCCCACCTTGCTTGCCGCCGCCGATACGACCTCGAACAGGATACATTGGAGGCCATCTTCGTAGAATTTCGGAACTCCCGGAGCAAATTTCTCCTAGCCTGTATTTACATTCCCCCTCACGAACAAACACTGGTATTCGAAAGCCTCCAAATTTCCATCGACAGACTTGTGGAACAGCGCTCATCGTACACAAGCATCTACCTGCTTGGAGACTTTAACGTGCACATCGATTGGAGTGATCTCTCGTCCCCCATCCCGTCCACCCCAGCGTCCCAGCAGCTCCTCGACATGATGGAACCTGCTGGATTTGTCCAGCTGTGCAACGACCCCACATACCGGTCGCCAGCAGGAAAGGAGTCCCAACTCGACCTGTGTTTCACCACAAATCCCACTCTCGTATCAGACTGCTACGCCCAGGACAGTTTACTTGGATGTGATCACAAGGCCATACATATCCATAGTTACACCTCATTTCCCCGCCAGGGTCGCTTTGCCCGTATGGTACACCGCTATGCGCAGACAGGCTTTACCCACCTCTGCAAGCTCCTCCACCTTGCCCCATGGTCAATGGTGCTGACTGAACCCTCTCCAAACGACATGTACGAGCTCTGGCTCGACTTTATGGCCGCTATTCAAGCCGAAACTGTCCCTCATTTTCATGCCTCCAAGAGGAGAAGGCCGCCATGGATATCCAACGACATCGTAAAGATCGCACAAAGAAAGCGCCAACTCTTCAACAGAGCACGGGAACGACACTGCCAGTCCAGCTACACTGAAGCCAAGAAATTGCAGAGGGAAGTAAAGAGGCTCGTGCACATATCGCATCAGGATTATGTCACGAGTATCGCAGCCCGAGCAGCCAAAGAGCCCAAGTTATTCTGGGCCTATGTACGCTCCCAACGGAAATCCTCCTCTCCCAGTCACCCATCCCTCAAGCACAACCATAGATTGGTATCCGACCCCTCCACAATAGCTACCCTATTTAGCGAACACTTCTCATCCATTTGGTCACCCTCTGAACCACCTACCCCGTCCCTGTCCCCAGTCCCCTCAAGACCACCACCAGCACCAACCTCAATCATCGACAGCCCTGCATCATCCCCTCAGCCCATTCTCTCGTCACTATCAATCACAGAACAGGATGTACATGACTCAGTGTCCTCCATCCGCACAGCCCAGAACCCTGGGCCAGACCAAGTGCATCCTGCATTTTTCAAGCTCTCTGCCCCTGTAATCAAGCCTATCCTGACCATGATGTTCCAGCGACTCCTGGATTCCGGCACTGTTCCGTCGGCCTGGAAGAGGTCCATTATAACACCTGTTCACAAGGGAGGTGGACTTGACACGGACACCACGGACTCCTATCGCCCCATCGCATCAACCTCAATAGTGTGCCGCACGCTCGAAAGAATAATCAATAAGAAAATCTTGGACCACATGGAGGACAATGGACTGTTCAGCCCTGCACAGCATGGCTTCCGACGAAGACAAAGCTGCGAGACCGCCCTGGCCGTGGCTGTCCATACACTCAGCACGTATCTTGATCAGCGAACTCCCTGCAAGTTAGTCCAGTTGGACTTCTCCAAAGCATTCGACCGGATTGACCATGCGCTTCTTCCCCAAAAGATGGAGAAGGTTGGCATTGAGGGCACCCTGGCCAACTGGCTGATGAACTTCGTCAGTGGCCGGACCCAACGAGTGGCCTTCCATGGCCACCTCTCGCCGCCCTGCACAGTGCTTGCCGGCGTTCCTCAGGGCAGCGTATTGGGACCAACGCTGTTCTCCATTTATGTGAATGACATCACTGATGGGATGCAATCCAAAGCCATATTATATGCCGATGACCTCACGCTCATACAGCCCCTGAACTCACCTGACGCATTTACCTCCCTACAAAGTGACCTCGACGCCTGTCTACACTGGTCTACGGTCCACAAGCTGCCGATAAACCCCCAAAAAAGCCAAAGCATGACGATCAGCGTGTCCTCATATAGCAGATCACTTACTTGCAGTCTTACACTTGGTGACATCCCCCTACCCAACGCAGCAACAGCAAAATTCTCGGAATTACATTCGATCAGCACCTAAATTTCAGTAGACACGTGCACGAGACCACCTCCCGTGCAAGGCGCACATTGGGATTCATTACTCACATAACCCGCGGCATGCCGGCGGCATCACTCAGAGATCTATACACGGCTCTGGTGCTCCCTCAACTCGAGTTTTGTTCAGCTATATGGGATCCCCCCTCAACTGCCCTGAAGAGCTCCCTTGAGGGTATCCAGCGGAGAGCAGCCCTCACGCTCTACAGACGTGTGTTCCCATCATCGTGCCACACGGCCTCGAGGGACCTCCCCACAGCAAGACTCCTACAGCACGCCAAGTGGCAGAGCCTACAACACCGTAGGGATGTGGCAACAATCAGGTTGCTCTGCCTCTTTATGGGCACTGGTCCGCCTGAAGTCCCCTTTCCACTGCGCCTCAACAAACGCACCGGCAGGCTGCAGCCCCCTCTATCGCGGACCCTGCGCCACAGCAAGTCGTGGCTCATACGTGCTGCAACTCTCTGGAGGTCACTCCCCTCAAAGATGACAGAAACTTTCCCCGACCACCGTGATGACATTCGGGAGCTGTGCAGAGCAATCGCGTCCCCCATATAGTGCGTGTGTGTACATATATGTCCTCTTTAGCTACTGTACAGTATGTGTGCCTGGACCCTTTTGTCTGTTCCTGACCGATACTTATGCTCGTTGCCCCCCCCCCCCTCCTTTTTTTTTTTTTTTTTTTTAGTCTCAATTTATAGCGCCGCCCGGTCGGTGTCAGGGGCACTAAACGTGTATGGGCACACTGCCTTTCCCTGAATACCTGCACACCAGGCGGCACTGTACAATAAAAGTGCAATAAAAATACAATACAATACAATACAATACAATACAAGAAATAGATTACGTGGCCTTCAATTTATTTTGATCGTATATGCACATGTAGTTACTGATCCAGTGTTACTGCGTAGTTCTTGCCGTCTTTCTTAATTTCCAGATATTCTTCGTTCGTTTGGCACGTATATCCCCCACGCTGAAAAGCGCCGACGTCGTGTTCGCGCTAACAGTGTCCGACAGTGCACATAAATACACGTACGAAGCCGTTTTAACACCGTTTTTAATGCGATGAATTTGAAAGAAAAACACCGTAACTGACCAATTATTTCGTCGGCCTGACTGAGAAATGTTCCAAGCTACCTAGTACGTACGAATTATTCGGGATATTTGCTCTTGTGATCGAGAGCAGAGAGAAAATGCACTCACTTTTTCCCATAGAAATGCATTACCGGAAGTCAATTTTCGACTGGTTGCTGTCTGCTTCAATTTGCGTCAGCACACTAGCGCCACTTGAACCTCTAGCGTACATTATAATAGAGAGTTTTAGAATAGGGGGCCCCAACGCTTTGGGGAACCCAACGCTTTGGGGTACCCAACGCAACGACACCTCACGCAACGTGCTTATAGAATAGGGTTTGTCACGACGCAACGCGGCACGCTCGCCTTTTTCGCATGCAGCGCCATTGTGGACAACGAACGAACTTCTTAACAGTGAAAAATTATGAAAATGCAAAACATTTGCGCTGAAACGACACTTTATTGTGGCTTGCGGTCCAAATAATAGGGAGGGTAACACCAGTTGGAACGGCACAGCAAGACCCATCTGCCGACCGTCTCTGAATCAGATTTACTTCTCTGGTCACAGGTAGGGTGCCTCAATGACCTTCTGTTTAGACTGATGCCACCTTTTGTAGTACCCGATGCCGACAGCACGCGCTCACGGGGAAAACACAAAGAAATCGACGAAAACAAAATGTCGCCATAGCACAGTCAGCGCCACAGACGCGTGCAGGGACACGCTCTTTCACGCGCTTCTGAACAAAAAATAAATGTAAACGTGAGAACAAAATGGCCAGATGTCTCCACCCTAAGCAAAGCGCACATGAAGGCACCCTAGTCACAAGAGAGTGCACGCCCTCAAATACCAGGCTATCATATGCCCCAATGGAATTATCTGCGAACTCGACGGGGCCATTCCCCGGTCACAGGCACGACGCTGGTATAGGTGTAGCTTGCTTTTTGCCCATCCTGTTGTTGAAGCAGCACGACAGTTATAGAGAGTTTTATAAGAGGGTGTCCCAAATCTTTAGACCCCAAAGAAATAGGGGCTCAGCACTGCGCATGCGTAGAACCCAAACTCCTTTTGGGGTTTTGGGTTTGCTCGCGCCCCCAACGTGAAATTCGAGAAATAGCGTGGGGCCCCCAAGTGCTTGGGGCCGGGTTGTGTCGGCAAACATGGCGGCGCCCTTTCCGCTCGCTTCGGTGCAAATTCGTCATGGTCGCTGCAGTATTAGCCAATTTCATTGCCAATGAATAGTGCAACCGGCTTTCGCTTTGCTTAATCTCGCTCAAGTCACAAAGAATGAGCGGTGGGCTTACCCCATTTTAAAGATCGTACCCGATTCTGGCCGTTAATAAGCCTAAACATACGTCGTAATTGTTGACAAGGTGACGTATTGCTACGCCATGGCAAAAGGCTCGTTCACACAGACCCGTTTTTTTATACGTTACGAAAAGTCACCGGGAAATCTGTGCTTCGTATTAAACTGTGCCAGCAGCAGGTCGACCCGGTCGCGGATGGCCCGCGTGGAGTAATTTCTTCCGATTGCTTCGGAGACCCTTTCGGTAATTGAAGTCCATCTCCTGGAATCCTGAAATGGGTAGTGGCGTACACTTCGCGTAGCACATAAATGCCATCGTCGATCAAGAAGTGAACGCGCGCGGGAGAATTCTCTTCCGCCATTTTCTTCTGGCCTTGGATCGGCCTCGACTCGTTCGGCCATCCCGCTTCGGGTGTAGCCGAAACAATCCAATCCGTAGCGCTCTAATCTGGCGCTTGTTCTCGCAGTAACATAGAGAGTTGAGCTAGCTGGTACTTAGAAGACATACCTAAAACAGCGCACAAGCACAGGAGGAAGATAACAAAACACAGGAAGGGGCGCTGACTCCCAACTTATGTATTGTGAAAGAAAGAGAAAGAGGAAGCTTTAAATATGAAGCCCACGTTGTTGTTTTTCTTTCTTATTTTTTCGCATCGTTTTTTTCGTCGTGACCTTATAATGTCAGTTTTCTCCTTTTCTATTGCAACTTAGTAATTTATATGTTTTTATTCTGTCTCTTTATACCTTGTGGGTGCGCGCGGGTTTCATGTCTGAAGCTTCCTCTTTCTCTTTCTTTCACAATACATAAGTTGGGAGTCAGCGCTCTTTTTTGTGTTCTATTTTCCTTCTCCTTTGCTTGCGCGCTGTTTTAGGTATGGCTCGTACTCGAATTTTTTGGGCGTTCGTGTGCGCTTTGAACATATGCAGCCGAAGATTTTGGCCTTCAACTATGCCGAGACTGAGACGAACGCGTGCGCGCATACTCTGCGAGCAGCTGCACTATTTAAATCTGAGCTGGAGCGACTTTGAAGCCTTGAAATACTTGTTTTCAAGATGCAAATATCGTGCCACGAACGAAATCTACTCGGAGCCACGGAGTAGCAATACGTTGCCATGTCAACGGTTACCGCGTATGTTTAGGCTTAGAAACGGCCAGAATCGGGGACGGTCTTTAAAATGGGGTTAGCCCACCGCTCATTCTTTGTGAATTGAGTGAGATCAAGCAAAGCGAAAGCGGTTGCATAAATCATTGGCATTGAAATGGGCTAATACTGCAGCGACCATGACGAATTTGCTCCGAAGCGAGCAGAAAGGGCGCCGCCATGTTTGCCGACGCAACCCGGCCCCAAGCGCCAACCCAAAGCCCCAAACGGATTTTGGGTTCTGCGCATGCGCAGTCGTGAGCCCCTATTTCTTTGGGGCCCCCAAGCTTTGGGGACCCCTATTCTAAAACTCTCTAATAACTCTATGCTGTACATATACGGTTCCAGTAGACACGCGCGACGGGCCCGCCACCCGGGAGAGCGAAAGGAAAGGAAACTAGTCAAGCAAGCGCTTGGAAGGACGATGAGGAGAGGGCGGTGCGAGCGTAGACATGGCAGACGCGGGTCGCACAGTGGCCAATCTTTGAGAAACCTTTATTATCATCCTGAGACTCTACTGATCCTGAAGATGGTGCCTTTTGATAACTAATCTATTGAATAGACCTATTTCTAAATTACCCGAGCATCAAGGATAATGCAGGGAATGGTGTT